CGAGACCCGCCCGAAGGCCCAGAGCCGGAGGGTTCCCGCTCTTCGCGTGACTCCGCCCACGCCGGTCGCTGACACCCCGGGGCTCGGCTTTGGCCGAAGTCCCTCACGCTTTTCGGGATCCAAGGCCTGGGGCGCACCGGGGATAGGCCGGGGCCTCAGCAGAGGAGTGGGCCCGGCCTCCCTCCCCGAGGCCTCCTCTCCCGCCCTCAGTACCGTAGGGTTGGAAGCCTGCCGGGCCCAGTCACCCAGAGCTGGGTGCCGCCTGGCACCGTAGCTTCCCGGTTCCAGCGGGCAAGTCTGAGGCTGCTCTAGCCTGTGGGAGCCCCTGATGCCCGGGCCGGGGAGTGTCCGGATTTGTGGTGTGACGGTGCCCACACTGGTCCTGACATTATTAGTGATTCATGCAACTATATTCTAAGCTCCTCGAGGGCAGCGCCCAGCATCCCTCCCTAGGTGCTTAGTGAATGAGTGAATGAGTGAAGCTGAGTGCAGTTGGTGCTCAAAAATGGCTCGCTGATTGACTGACTTAAACACTATATCCCTTCAGTCAGTATTTACGGATCATCTTTTCTGAGCAGTACTCTGCTGAGCTGAGAACAATGAATGAGAAAAAATAAAATTTCTGTCCTTGGAGAACTTGCCTTCAGGAGTGTTGAGTTTTGTTGCTGCCTTCCACAGGGCGGGGAAAGAGGCAGGGCTTTCCGGGGGGGGCCCCCTTATGGTCTAAACCTATCCCTTGCAGTTACCCCACTCTTCTATTTGTCTCAGGAAAGCCCTCCTGACTAGTCACATTAAAAATACAGCCAGTCCATCAATCTGCAGGAACACTCCCTAGTTCCTTGCCTGCTTTATTTTTCTCCTTTGCACTGACCACCATCTGATAGACTATACACATCATACTTCATGTATTATCTTTCTCTTCCTTAGAATGTCAGTTCCATGAGGGTAGGGACTTCTGTCTGTTTTGTTCCCTATACCCAGCACCTAGCATAGTACCTGCTGCATGGTAATAGTAAATAATTGTTTAATTAATGTGTCCTCTTGTTTGTTTTTCCAACCAGATTGTGGGGTCTTATTCATCTGTGCAACCATCAATGGTTGTTGGACGAGTGAATAAATAGAAATGGTTGAGAGAGGTGGTCCTCTGTCTTGCCAAACTAATAGGTATTGGAAGACAAAATGATTCACTGTGCTGGCTTTGGAAAGAGACTTTTCATCCATGCTATTGCTTCTCTGTATTCATAAAATGGTATAGTGATAACTCTGGCTTGATCAGACCTAGGCCTTAAGAATATCCTTATAAACAGCATGTTCACGACGTCCCCGCCAACAAGCCCTAGCCCATTCTAGATAGGTTACCACTTCTAACTGAGAAGGTATGAGCTTTCTGTGGCAATGGTTACTTATGGGCTTCAAATTCTTTCCCTCTTTTTGTCCCATCCATTGCCTTCCAGTTAAATGCCTGAGAAGGATAATAATAATGTTAGCTGCTAATATTTATATAAGCACTCTCTAGTTAGTATCACGAAGCATGGTTCTGAGTTCATTACATGCATTGATTGACTCATTTAATCCTCACAGCAACCGAGTGGTGGTCCAAGTTACAAATGAGTACATTGAGGCACAAGCCAGGAAGCTTACCTAGCCGGGAAGAAACAGAGCCAAGATTTAAACAGATCACCTGACACCATCTGAGTTTCTTTTTTCAGTTGGGATATAACTGATATATAACATTGTATATATTTAAGGTATATAACACCTTGATTTGATATACTTTTATATTGATGAAGTTCATTAATGGGGTGCATGATATAAATGAACATATTAACGAACCAGCTCTGTCTGGCTGCCATCACTACTTCTAGTTTTTTGGGAGTCATTTTTGGAGAGACCTGGACTCTTTTAGATGAATAGCCACTGTGGAAGAAAAAGAAAACACACAGATTTGGGATGAGAAAAATTTGGGTCAAATCCAGTCTACCATTACCAACTGAGTGACCTTAGGCAAATTTTCGACTTCCTATTTTAAAAATCACTTATAGTGTTTTCATGAGATTAAAAGAGAAAATGTATAAAAAGCACTCAGCACATAGTACACAATAAAAGTTAGTTTCCTTTTCTTTATTAATTACTTTCTAGTTAATGTCACTTTTAAATTGAGTCTAAAATTTTTCACCTATGTATAATTTTGTCTTTTACCATATTGACTGCTTCCCAGAGGAACATAGCTACTAACATAAATTTACATAAAATTTGGCATACATTGATATATATTTTTAAACCAATTTATCTCCCTGAATCCCAAAAGTGTTTTAACTGGAAACTGTAATGCCAATGCATATTACCAATTACTGCTTTAAAATAAAAAGCTTTATGGAGGGTTAAATATGGCCCAGAATTAACGCCTATTTCTTTCAGGGTCTCAACCATCTCTTGTTCAATTGCAAGGTAGAGATACAGGCAGGAGAAAAGGAAAATTTACTTGGAGGCCAGCAAATGACCAACAAAAATTATCAAAATTTAAAGTCTCAATGCAAATATTATTGGGGACAAATAAAGAAATGAAGTCACTTGGGGGACACTGGGTGGCTCAGTCAGTTAAGTGGCTACCTTTAACTCACCTGATCTCAGGGGTCCTGCTCAGCGGGAGGTCCTGCTCAGCAGGGAGTCTGCTTCTCCCTCTCCCTCTGCCCCTCCCCCTGCTTGTGCTGTCTGTCTCTCTCTCTCAAATAAAAAAATCTTTTTAAAAAATGAAGTAATTTGTTTTTCAAATTATAATTTACTACATGACACACTACCTAAAACTTAATGACTTGAAATAACCATTTTATTACATCTCAGGATTTTGCGGGTCAGAATTTTGGGCAGGGCTCAGCTGAATGATTCTTCAGTTCCATGTGGCTCAGACTGGGGTCATTCAGTAGAATTTAGCTAGTGAATGACCCAGCCTGGAGGGTCTCAGATGGCCTTACCCACATGTCTAATGCCTGGGCAGGGATGGCTTTGGAAGGCAGCCCTCAGCCGGGATTATCAAGCAGACCCCCCAACACGCGGCCTCTTTATCATAGTGGTCTTGGGGAAATCAGACTTCTTATATGGAGGCTCAGGGCTCCAAAAGTGAGTGTTCCAGGAAACAAGGCAGAAGCTATGTTTTATGACTTAGCCCCTGAAGACCTGGCATGCAACTTCCACAACCTTCCACAGTTGAAGCCATCCCAGATTCATAGAGAGGGGAATTATACTCTACCTTTCAGTGGGAGAAACTACAAAGAACTTCCAGACACCTTCAATCTATCACACTTGTTTTTATGAAAGAGAATGGTATTAAATAAAGTTAGTAAAAACTCCTACATTTTTGTCCATTGTTCATGTGGAAACATATATCATTGTCAGCATTAAAGAGATTTACAATGAAGACCAGGAGTCATCCACCAGGTGTCAGGTTTATAGAAACATTCAAGAGTAGTGCAATTCAGAGCTGTACATGCTTTTCTTGCCCCATTATCATTGTTCTTAAAGTTTGCCCAGCATCTAAGTTAGCTATGTCCAACACAGAGAAAGGCAAAGTCCATACTTCCAGCATTTTGTTAATTTAACAAATATTTGTTAAGGACGTACTGTATGCCAAGCCCTATATTAGCTACTGGGGCCATAATAGTGAGAGAGGGAAATCTAGTTCATGTCCTCACAGAGTTTGGGAGTATATCTGAGAAAGAAGACAGATAAACAATGAGGATACAGGGTGAGAAATTCAATGATCAGGTGCCATGGGAAGGTTTGATTAGACCATTGAACGTGGTAGAGGAGGAAAGGAATCTGGGTCAAGGCAAGTCAAGTAGGGTAAGCTAAACAAATAAACCCCCAGATGATAATGGCTCAAATATAATAGCAGCTTATTTTTTCTCAATGAACAACTGAAGGCAGTTCCAGAGTATGGGAGGTGGTGAGGGAGGAGGGTAGTCTCTGTTCCTTCAGGAACCAGACTGGTAGAGGCCCTGCCATTTTCAGCTCAAGGCTGCCCGGCTTTTCTGGGCACGAATGTCTCCAGCAGGCAGAGAGGGAAAGAACCTGGAGGCTCTCTCATGGGAGGTTTTTCACGGGCCTGGCACTTTTGCGTACCTTCTTTTGGCCAGAAATTAGTTATACGGTCCCTCTAGCCACAAGGAGGCTGGAAAACGTAGCCTTTGTGCCCAGGAAAAAAAAGAAGAAGTCAGTTTCCAAGAGCAGTAGCAGACTCCACTTCAAACCACCTTTTATTTTATTTTATTTTATTTTATTTTATTTTATTTTATTTTATTT